GTGACTAAAACTGGTTGCAGTATTTCAGGTGTGGTCTCACTAGGGTTTTATAAAGCGGTACTAATACTTTGTGTGAACTTGAAGTCCACAGCTACACGTTGAGAAGGTAAAGGCAGATTATGGAGCAAAACCAATAACGATCTTGGGATTGCAGAAGGCAAGCATCTCCATGTAGTCAAGGACTCTCCTAACTGATTGGCTTCTGTACAATAACTCTCCTAAGTTAGTCTGTTCTTGAAAGTGTGAATCATTTCTAAGAGTTTGTCTCACCCATCTTTATTTTGTGGAATGAGTTCCTGTTCTAAGAGTTGGAAGGTTTGATTACCAAATTAGTATGTCATGGGATTGACCTGCCCCAGTAGCATTTGCAGAAGAGGCATGCTATTGGCCAGGAGATTTTGGCTGGCAGGATCAAGGAGAAGAGTCTTCTCTGCCATGGTGCTCACTCTCTAGGACGCCATGATTCTCAAGAGGAGACCTGACCCCACTCTTAAAACCTGGCTCTGACCATTGGTCTTTGATGGGAAAGGAAGGGCTGTGTCACCCTGGAGATAATTACTAGATTAGAAGACCCTACCTCTATTGTGTACCTGCCCCTCTATCTTAGCTATTTCTTTGTCAATTTGTATGTATTTATTGTCTTACTACTTTAAACATTTACTATATCATTTTATCAAATTGAAAACTGTCCAGATAGCGAGATGGGAGCAAATGAATCGAATAAATTGAATAAATGAATATGCAGATGCCTAGGCAACACAACAAAAACACAAGAACAGCTCAGTCTCCTTTTCATTTAAGAATACCTAGAACAGTGGTTCTCAACCTTTTTAATGCCGCGACCCCAACTGGTCGTAAGTCGAGGACTAAACCGGTCAAAAGTCGAGGACTAAACCGGTCATAAGTCGAGGACTTTCCCTGCCCAGGAGCACCGCGTATGCGTGGTTCCACCCCCTGCGCCGGCCGAGGTGTAGCTGGCAAGCGGCAGAGACGGAGCAGGCCGACCACCAGTTGGCCCAGCTCAAGGGAGGTAAGGCACCCGTCGGAAAAGGGGGAAAAAATGGCAGACAGCCTTGCTTGGCGACCTCCATGAAATGGTCAATCGACCCCAAATGGGGTCCCGACCCACAGGTTGAGAACCACTGACCTAGAAGATGACTATGTTAATGGCACTAATGATTGTCTGGAAGAACCCAAATTTACCAAAAAATAGGGGCACTTCTAAATCCCTTCGGAGAGCATGATAAAGGTGAAGGAGTCCACAATGTTTCATCAGGCAATGGAAGAATCAAAGAGAGTTTGAAAAAAAGGAAGAAGAGGATTCGCGTGTGTTGTTTGGAACTTTAGATATTGGGACAAGCATATGTGGGAGGTCTGGGAGTTGAAGGAAAGCCAACGAAATGGAGATAATCAATCACCTGGTAGACCAGGTATTCCACTGAAGCCTGGTGGTCCTGGTGGTCCTGGAGGGCCAGGAGGGCCAGTTTTCCCACAAGAGTCTTGGGGCTCTGTTCAAAGGAAAACATATCCATGTAAATGTGTCACTCTCTTTAATATCCTTGGGCACCAATTTCAAATTTCAGATATAAAAAAGCATTGGAGTTTTGGAAGATCAGTTCATCATTCTGTATTAGAAACATAAATACATCCTGAACTTCAATGACCCAAACTCTCAAATTGGGATATACAATATCTATCAGGCTCTTTTCCTTTCCTTTCCTTTCCTTTCCTTTCCTTTCCTTTCCTTTCCTTTCCCTTCCTTTCCTTTCCTTTCCTTTCCTTTCCTTCCCTTCCCTTCCCTTCCCTTCCCTTCTCTTTCCTTCCTTTCCTTTCCTTTCCTTTCCTTTCCTTTCCTTCCCTTCCCTTCCCTTCCCTTCCCTTTCCTTAAAACATTTATATTATTTCTGTAATATTCAGTGGAGAAACCTGAAAATGTTGATGCCAGTCTATTGTCCTCATTGCAAAGGCAATTTATTTCTTTTTTGGAAAAAAAATGCACTTCTGTTATTGGAATTTAAAAATGAGAAGATCTTTCTGTCTGTCTGTCTGTCTGTCTTTCTATTTGCTGCCCATCTGGTAATGAAACAACTCTGGGCAGCAAATAAATTCAATAAAG